TGTTCTAGTTCATCACTAGGTTTCAGTGTTCCTTTTTTGACAAAACCTTGGATGATTTCTGTTCGGGTAAAACAGGGTTCCTCAATTATGATCTAGGTCCAGTGTGCTGCGGCTTTAGGACGTGTCTCTGCTTCCACACTTTCATCAAATTGCTGAATTTACTCCTCAGGATGCAGTCAAGATCTCCAGAGTCCAGAGGGCTGGAATTAAAGAGCCCTGATGTAGGCTGAAGTTTTATTTTTGTTTCAGATGATCTCATCTAGACGCTTGATAGTGTTCTTGTTGGTGTTATAATGTTTATAGGTTATTAGTTAAACAGTAATTTATCTGATTTATTAATATGTAATTTTTTAAAGCCTTATTATTTCTTGCCATTTTATCTGTGACCAATTCAAGCAGCTACTCAGACAAAATTAATACAGTTCACACAGTTTTAATATATTTTTTAAGTATAAATAGTTTTATTTTTTAACTAAAAATAAAATCCCAGTTTATCCTCTTATGCAGTTTATTGCATGTTAGGGAATATTTCTGTAATTGCCTGACCGTTCTAATAAAACAGTTGCAAAATCATTGTGGTTACGGCAGCTAAAAGTTTGGAGTTCTGCCTTGGGACATTTACCTCCACATCCAATAAAACAAGAGGATGGATTTTGTTTTACAAGATGGAATCATTTGTAAAAGTCAGACAGCGGGGGGGAGTATTTATTTCACAAAGCGCCTTTCATTCTTTTCTCCCTAAGCGGCAAATAGGAGCCACGGGCCCTTGGGGACTGGGAAACTGTTTGCTGTAGCTAGCAGCCGTATCTGAAAGACATTCATCAGAACCGTTTCCCTCTCTCCAGAACTCTGCCTAGCCAAGCTGTCATGATGCTGCCAAGATGAATTAGCGATGTCATCCTGTGCTTTTCTTGTGCAGGCAGGGATACATACTCTTATTGTCCCATGGGCGATAAACATAAATCTGACGCATTCAGCCAAGATATTTATACAGGACGGGCCCTGAATCTTCTTGTGGGTTCATAGATTGATACATCGCAGCTCTAAGCTTCCCTCGGTGGTCCTGCCACCCTCACAACAAGAGGTCAAACTGTCCAGAGCTCTGAAGCTAGCATGCAATTCATCTCTCCCAATAATATCTGTTCATCTTTAACAATGACGCCGATGGATGACAAGGAAAAAACTTGTGTCCTGGGCTTTTCAAATAAATGGCATTATAAGAAATAATGAATCACGATAAAGTGGACAGTTTGTAACATTATTGGTTAACATGAGCCGTAATGCTGAAACATGAAATTTTATGTAATGACGTGTTTGTTTGAATATAAATAGTTTTTACTTCTCGAGAGTTAAAGTGTATGTGATTACTTTTCTTGTTCCTCATCAAAATGTTAGAGCTGATAGGGTTTTTTTGGGGAAAAATCAATTTTTTGGATGGTTTAATATCCCAAATTGCTAATGCAGAATTTAGATACATACTTTGAAGTAGCAGAAATAATAAAAATTTTGCATCCTTAACCACATCAAAATGTTTAAAAGTTTCGATTCAGTTATAGAGAACAATGCAACTTGATAGTTTTCTATGAAAAGGTTTCCAGCCAGTGACCTTGCAGCAAACCCTCCTACTGAGCAAGCATCTAGTGACAGTGGAAAGGAACTGGTCTCCTTAAACTGGAAGGAAAAGTTTGAGCAGCCATTCACTGAGGCTACCTAGTGGTTTGCAGCATCAGAGATTCCCTCAGCTGAAGATGAGAAGGCGTCAGATTTAAGGTGACATGGTTCACAAACCTTGTGTAAGTCCTTTGTGTTACGGATCTGGTGAAAATGTTTTTTAAGCGATCTCAGCAGAGATCTGCTAATGAACCAATTAATTAAGGAAACATCTAAAACATGCAGGACTCTTGATCTTTATGACCAGCTTTGGAAACTACTGGAAGAGATTAAAGCATTGGAAAGAGAAGAGTTAACTTTTGAGTCAGTCCTCCACAGACTAGTTTTTAAATATTTTCCTTTAGGTTCAACAGGTTCTGACAAAAACAGCATGAATCCTAAGGGGCACATTTTCTTTTTAATAAACTTGCTCTACTTTAGTTTATGGTTTATTACGTAACCTCAGTCTCTATTAAAGCAGCTGACTGATGGAGGATGTTGTATATATTGTGTTATTTTTTATACGATCACCATCATTATCTAAAGTGCATCGTCATTTCCGATAGTCATGAACAGTGTAAATACTTGTGGAAATGCAGCATTCTTACTGATGAAAACGGAGCTAAATTAGCTGGATTTTTTTTTTCCGTTTTACCAATATTATCCTCCTAACTGAGCTTCTGAGCAGAATCTTTCACATTCTTTTTACAGCTGTTTGGCTCTTAGCTGATGGGGTATTAAATTCAGCCTTACAGCTTGGCAGTTTGAGAAGCTGTTGTAGAAATGGCCTTTGTGACATATGTCCCTAACAGCAGATTATGTACACAATTATCCTCAAAATTGTCTCTGTAAATCACTATCTGCTCTTCTGTCAGCGCCACACAGCCACTGGACCCTGACTGGTGCTGCTTTCTCTGCCCCCAAGTCTCTTTCTCTCTTCTTTTGCTCCCTGCTCAGCCTCCCTCTCTCCTCTTCCCTCCCTTTGTTATTTTCTTCTTTGGCGCCAAACATTCCCAGAGGGAGATAGAAGAGACAGCGGCAGTCAAGAGAAGCAGAGGCAATGCAAAGATCACAGAATGAGAAAATGAAGTAGGCAGGTTGGAGGGAGGAACAAAGGTGTACAGGAGGAGAGTCTACTTTTAATGAAAGAACACGTGAAGGATACTGAAAAGATAAAGGGGAGTACATTATGTTTATTCCCTTGCACACTGGAGCTCTGATGAAATCAATCACGAATAATGAAACGATGTGAGGTATAATGATAGATGCAAAGCTGAAAGCACGGAGGCTGTTAGGAGGGAGATCAGGAAAAGATGATGGAAATGTCCTTCATACAGGGCATAGCACCACATAACGATCCTGGGGATGGTCACCTTTATCCAATTTGAACTTTGAGTGACAGTTTGATTAGTTGCTTATTCTGCCTCAACATCCAAGTGCTTCACAAACAACCCTTTACATATCATGTCATTTTATCATCCCTGAAGAAGAGCCTGACTTACCCCTTATCACAGCCATGTTCACCATACATTTGTTTCCAGCTGTTGCATATGTTTAGATAAAACAAAATGCATAAAGACAACCATTTCAATACTGCTGTAAATGCAATGCCTGAGCCAAAGATTTGGTAAAGTAGCTTTTATCTTGCAACCTTGCCTTCCTCAGAATGGCCAGAATATGTGTAAAACAAGCCCTGTTATTAAAGACAACTGCCTTTTATAAACCTTGATTTTTTTTCTCATTTTATACAGTTGCAACCTTAAACATCAATGCATCTCGTTTTATCTGAGACAGTCTCATTTATTAATGTCAAACGAAAGGAAAATTATAAACGGGTTTCAATTAAAAGCTATACTGAACAGTGTGCCATGAATTTGTATGCTGTATTCTCTTTTATTCTGATAAATACAATCAATTTTTTCCAAATCTTTTTGTAAGTCAGGGTAAAAGGATTCCATCACCACTGATAATGACTAGGAAATTTCCTCTAGAGAACCTTTTGTCATATTGATGCTAACTGGTAAAGGAAGCAATCTTTGTTAACCTCGAAAAACCATCTCTGAACAGAGGAGGTGGTCTTAGCATTACCTTTCACTCACCCTAGATAGACCTACGGTATATTGATCTCAGTGCTCCCCACCACTAGATAGAAATGGGATGTGAGGTGAAACATCTTCTAGAAAATGTCCAGTGGCCTAGACTGAACCTTTTCAAGCTTGATAAGTGTAACATTGTGTCTACTTTGTAAGTCTGCTAAATGCATAAATATAAAACATATGTGTAAATCCTGCTGTTCAGTAAAGGAGGCAGAGGTTTTCTAGAGAGCTTCAGTGAATGAAGCGTTGTGATACAACAGGCAGATCATGGTTAAAGCTGGGGGGGAATGTAAAAAAGGCTTTGATTATAAACAATATTAGGCTTTAATGTCATGAAGTGGCCTGTTTGCTCTTCCTTAATTGGTTATTTCTTTCTTCTGCCATGAAACGAGAACAGAGGACCCAGTATTCAAGGTGAGACAGCCAGTAGGAATGTTCAGAACATTTATTGGTGACTGCAGGTGGGGAGCAGAGATTGGGCACCACCCAATCTCAGACACTACGGTTTAACAATCCAGTCAATCTCCCTGGAAAGGGGCGCAATCCAGCCGCTGGGCTGTACACTGACGCGACACGCGTCACCCAGAGTGTCCCCGGAGCTGCAGTCCAGGAGGACCCGAAGGAAGCCCATCCTGGACAGGGTTTAAAGGAATAGTACACCCAAAACATGATTAGCCTTCATTTTCTACTCACCCCCATGCTGAACAACACTCTGGAGTACTTTTTTGATATCTCAAATGCATCTGGAGATCTGGGAGGCTTCTTGCTGTCTGCTGACATTCAAATAATGGAGGTCTATGGTGCCCGAGACAGAAAGGTCCATAAAAGTCCACAAAAAACGTGTCAATATTCCTCCATACTGTTCGTCCAATGTATTCCAAGTGTCCTGAGTGGGTAGCATCCAGAATTTACTCGGAACAAAGTCATTTAGAATGTTTTTAGAGCATAAACAGTAGTGTATAGGATTTCCTGAAAGCGTGCACATGCGCGTTCACGACGCTACGGAAGCCGGCAGACCAAACCAGATGAAAGTGCGCATTTAGCGTCTGCTCTGCCAATAATGCAAGCGTAGAAGAAGAAATGTGCTGTTTACCTGTGCAAAGAAAGAAGCAACGAAAGAAAAATGTCTGAGGACTTCAGTGTTGAGGAAGAGCATGAGTTCTTTGCCGAGCTGAATGTGCTGGTTTGGAAATCCTATACACTACTGTTATTGCTCTAAAAACATTCTAAATGACTTTGTTTCGAGTAAATTCTGTATGCTACCATCTCAGGACACTTGGAATACATTGGACGAGCAGTATGGAGGAATATTGACACGTTTTTGTGGACTTTTATGGACCTTTCTGTCTCGGGCACAATAGACCTCCATTATTTGAATGTCAGCAGACAGCAAGAAGCCTCCCAGATCTCCAGATGCATTTGAGATATCAAAAAAGTACTCCAGAGTGTTGTTCAGCATGGAGGTGAGTAGAAAATGAAGGCTAATCATGTTTTGGGTGTACTATTCCTTTAAGATCAGGCAGGAACAGACAGGTGAAAGAAATAACCAATTAAGGAAGAGCAAACAGGCCAGATCATAACATTTGATCATTCAATCCATCATCCAAGAATAGAAATTGCAAGGCACTGTCCAAATACTACAAATTAAAAGGCCCTTCACCTAACTCAGCAGGCCAGGCAGATGCTGCATGGATCCAAACCTCAGGAACGCTATAAGAAATGACCTCCACAGTCCTAGTCGTTTAGAAAGATCTGCAAGAGGAAGGAAACTGATGACAGAATGTCATGAGAAAATCTTTTTTCAAGTTTAAAAGGGTAATATAAAGGGCATAGTAAACATTTTTTTGTTTAAGTGAAGTAAAATTAGCTCTTTTTAACCTACATGAAATGTTCACAGTGTGCCAGCAGAGTTTTCAGTGTATTTGTGATGACCTCACACAGCGGCGGTGCTTTTTTTTTTTTTTTGCAAAGGACGCTGTCTAAGTTGGCAGGAAGATGAATTGTGCTAAGTGTGGGACTAATCAAAAAGAAACCTTACATCCTTCAAAAGCACCAAGACAGAAATTCACCTTCCATCAGACCCTTACCAGATGGCCCCAAAGGAAACCAAATCCATGTCAGAATAAATGGCAAGAGTTCACAGACCTTGTTAAAATATTCTCTCCCTCCGTTCTGACTGAAATGTAAATTGGTTTGCAACAATGAAAGCATTTCTAAAGATGTGCTAAGCTGGTAGAGACTTAAAAGACCTGCAGCTGAAATAGCAGTGAAAACTTCTTCAGTGTATCAAAGAAATCAGAGGAATGAATGTAAATGTAAACCTCGCTTCTCAGAATCGTATTCTGAATTATTTTTCTTTCACTCCGGCATCATGCACTACTTTGTCCTGGTTATTCAAATACAATGCCAATAAAAACCCATTAAAGTTTTTGATTTTATCCAACAAAAGGCTCTACCAGTGTTTTCTGTTCCACAGACCTTATGTTATAATATAACCAGGGTTGTATTTGTGAACCTTCGTAAGATGTTTTAGTATATTCAAGAATCCAGGGACAAATTTAAACCTAATGGGAAAAGCCTGAGAGTGACCTTGTTCAAGTCGAACTACTGAAAGTAAAAATGTGAGTCAAGCAGTGATCTTTCTCCTGAATAAAGGGCCTATTTTGATTCATTATGTATTTCACCTTAATGCAAGGCACTGTTTTTATTTTCTGATAAATAGAACATTTACATTTCCCACAAAAAGTTGTCTGCAAAGGGTTTTATATATATATTTTGAACAGAAAAATAGAAAAAACATGTAAGTTCATCGATGTGAAAAGCTGATATAAATAGGAAAAAAACATTTAACTCTGTAAAGAATGATACTAGGCCTATTCCCCTAAATTAATGTTAAAAGCTGATCATGTTATTATTAATGTATTAATCTTGTGAACTGATAGCGTTCTTACACCCCCACATGACATACATTTAAAATATTGGAAGGCTCATCTGCTGGATACCTCATGGCACACTTCATCCTGTTGCAGCAAAGACACCATGGTAGCCACTGCCTTTCTTTCCAAAGATTCAATATTTATTAGTTTGTCCAAGGCTACAGTAAAAAGTATTTTATGGTTATGGCAATGCGTACTGCATGGAAATGTTTACTTAACATCTTAATACCTCAAGGTGATTGCTATAAGTGTAACTCCTCCCAGCCAATAAGTGGTGCCCTCATCCTCGCCTGCTCTTTTTCCATGTTTCCCAGTCAGTTGCCAGGTCCTCTAAGGTTAGCATTAGCAAACCTTTAATTTACCCATTCAGACGAAATGCGGCAACATGTTTTGAGAATATCATGATTTCAAGAAGTCTTACCAGGTGTAAAGTCTTATTGTGTTGGCAGATGTTCCAGTTATGTTTAATTGAATCATCTGATTAAAAGGTTAATAATCAAACAACTCTTCCTCAGAACAAGATCATAAACATGTTTTTTTGTAAAAAGAACATTAAAATATTCTACCGAATTTTATTTATTTTTTCTCCCCTTTAGTCGGCACCAATTTTCTTAGGCCCCGTCCACACGAAGTCAAAACGAACACGAAACGCTAATATTTTCCAGAA